CCGCGAAGTGTCTAACGGCCAGCCCTGCGTAGCAGTTCGACCCTCCAAATTTTCCAGTCGAGAGAGAAGGGGAATTGCAGGGCTTGAATATATTTGTAACAGCACTAAATATTAAGGCGCTGTTCAGCGGCCACGAAAATACCTCCTCAAGTCTTAGATCTATTACCTTTAGCGCATTTAAAGAGCGTTCACCTTTCGCAACTCGGAAACCGACGCTTGCGATTTAATACTTGCGTTTTGCAGCTGCTGCGACATTCACTGCTTTCAAAAAGGCGTAGTGGATACTGAAAGTCTCAATGCACAACGCGTCAGTAAGAAGACGCTTAATAAGTTTTGGATACTATTACCAACTACAAGCATCCAAAATCGTCGATTGTTTCTGTCTTTCTGTATTCGATAGATATATCGATCGCCAAATTCACATTAGATGTTCTCCTTGAATTAGTCGGCGTTTTTCTTTCGCACAACAATCTAACTAGCTCTAGATTTTTCAACTTAAATCCATACCGGTGTTTCTAACGAAGGTGTTATTGACCATGTTTTGTTGGAGTGCTCCATGATAGATTCATCAGCCATGATCAAACTATGATCACTCACGAAGCAGCTATACTCAAAACCCTCAACATGCACTAATGTCGCGTTTTAAGCTTCAGACAGCGGGATTGGCTGCTGAGCTTGTCTGCCTCATCCATCGGCAGATACGTCCACAGCTCTCCTCTTGAAGATAACGATTTGATGGTTGCAAGTATGTTCGTACTATAGATGGCAAAACATGATCAAAAACATCGCCATTTTGGGACGAACATTACTTTTTATTATTAGTTATTGCGTGTTTCGATGACTACGAGCAGACGTTTTCGATTGTTTCGGTTGGGCTGGAAAACCCAGTCGACACCACCATCTTGGGAATTAATCTTGACACATCCAATGTCCGGATTCTCCCATTCCTTACAATCGCTTTCCAGCTTCATACAAAAAAGCAACACGACCTCCCAGTGCCATTTCTGATCCAGTCCATTAATGATCGCTCTCATTTCAGATATATCCACATTCTTGTTCCAGTACTTGCACTCACAAAGAAAAATCGTTTTTTTGTGCTCAATCTCCACATCTTGAATGTACACATCACATCTTTCTG